ATAATTGCTTTCAAATGAATTAATATCTATACAATATATAATTTTTAGATAATAGTAGTTGGTGTAAACATTTTTGTCATCTTTTGAACTTTCAATTTTATCTTTAAAAAAATTAATTTTTAGTCTAATCACCCAATCATGGGCCTGTTTGGAAGCTCAGTTTTTTCACAAGTTTGTATGCTACTAGTTTTTTAACAACTTTTGCTACATGAAGTCAAAAAACTTATCAAAATTTTTAACCTACACACTTTAAAATACCCAAAACTTACAAAAAAATAAATAAATTATGTGACGACCCCACTTTCCCCTAGGGTGTATCCCAGGGTTTAGCGGACCGCATGCCCAACTCTTGCCAGGACTCACTCACTATTTCGGATAATATAATTCACAACTTCTTAATGTAAATAAATCAACAGTTGTCAAATTTAAAATATACAAATACATTCATTTCTGTCTCAAACTTCCATATAATCCCAAATACATCGAAAGATTGAAGTTCCAAATACATTCAACCCTAATCGAATGACTAGTGTGAGTACAATTACAAAATTTCAAAAAACTATACTACGCTAGCCTGTACAAGTCTCACGCTTCGCTCGTACCCCCTCTAAGAAAAACAAAACTAATAGAGTGACCCAAAATTTAGTGAGATCCCAAATGGCAAGTTGACCAATAAGTACAAGTGACAATAGCATAATAGTAAAGTAACGAGCATTAACAAATCAAGAAAATGAGCAATAACATTTCGGATGACCAAACATTAAATATTCAGTATTTCATGTAAAAGGATATAGTTGCTCTTGTAAACTAGCTCCACCATAACTTGATCATATAGTAGTTGACACTCCGTCAACTTTCAAGTAAGGTAACTAGTCCAGTAGTACACCACTTAACTCCAATCTCCGTCCACCAACCAAACCTCTTACCGGACCCGAACTCCAAGATAAACACTGGTGATAATACTCGAGTATACCGATTAGTCGATGAGATAACACTCCACTCGACATAACTCAAGACCCAGGGTTCAATATCGAATCGACCAAACCCAGGTCGGCTCGACTCGATTAACTAGCCACAGGATTTCTGAAATTCCAGACAAGATACGAATCATATGCATATACATCAAGTTACTTTCAATCAATGAACAAGAATATAGGACATTAGGCAAAGTGCGATAAAATACACCATTATCCGATCAAACCAATCACATATCATTCGATCACATTGGTCAAGTATTAAAAACAAGTATTAAATTCAATCAGGTATTTGGAAGCACTCACCAAAGATTTAGTGCTTCTTCGGATTACGTTCAGGTATTACTCTTGGTTTGGAGTCCAAATTTGTGATAACACATCGTTTAAGAGTTTTGAAATCAACTAAGGTTCGAAACTTAAGCGTTTCGTTTAACGAAAAACAAGTAATTGAAACTCATTTGGTTTCATGTCCTAGAAAACTCATGGTCGTTCTTTTAGTTTTGGTAATAAAGTGAGTAAAACGTTGAAATTCCCATTTGAGTCGAAAAGACGAGAATAACGTATTTTTATTGGTCGTTACTTTCATTTTTCCCAAGGGTACGAGTTTCGGCCAAATTCCAACTTATATATCTCTACGAAAGTAGAGTCGAATACCCTAAACAAATCAAATTCAAGTCGTCCTCAAATTTTCGCCCAAGTCGCGGGTACACACGCCTAACTCTCGAGTGAAAATTTGGGCGGCACGCCATTTGTATTTAGTTATTTTTCAGTCATTTATTGCTTCATTATTTTCCTCAATTCAACCCCAACTTCACACATAAATAATTTTAACACAATAGCACTTCAAATAGACTCAATGTCATACAATTACAAGACAAGTCTAGCAATGCGACCGAAAACTAATTTTAAAGGCAAATAGTTAAACAACATATTTGACGTCTTATAGTATTTTGGTCACAACTAAAACTACGTTTATCAGATTGGGGTACACTTTATGTTGTTTCGAATCTAAGACATAGACCTACAAGTCTTATGAAGACATCGACAACCAATTCATTCATTTTCAAGGTTAAAATGTGCAATTTCAGAGAAAACGGAACACTGCCCGCTCAAAAAGGGCATTTAGCAGTCAGGAGTATTTCTATCATTTCACATGTTACAATGCTCCGATTGAGCTAAAATTTTACAGGCATCTATATAACTCAATTCCCTACAATTTTTATATTTTGATCTAGACCTGATTCAGCCTCTATCATACTCGAATATACAGGTCAGAAACTGGACAGATTGGCCTACAATTTCTGAAATTTGATGATTCAATGCTTGAAAATCATATTTATGTCTTGAATCACTACCCCAAGTCCCTATCCAAGCTCATCAACATCATATACTAGATAAAAACAATAATCACAACTGAAAATATCAAATCCTAGCTAAACATTCCACCATATCATGCAAAACTCAATAATTAACCGTCATAAACTAAGATTAAGAGTTTGTATCCAAACTTTAGCAAGATTAAGAAGAGAAAAAGGAAAGGCAGCCAAGATATCTTCCAAAAAGTGCTTGTAAGTGAGAACCACACCCCTTTCTTCCACAACTTTTACCACACAAAGCTTCCTAAGTACTAAAATGAAAGTTTAATCGGTTTGGATTGGGTGATTTCTCTCAAACTAAGATGATTCAAGGTGGAAGTTGGAGTTTTCTCACTTTGTTTATTCTCTCCTCAAGCTCTGCCAAAATATGCAGAAATGAAGAGGAAATGAAGTGAATTTGGTGATAAACATGAAGGAAATTGGTTGGTCAAACAACCCTTGGATGGTTGCCACTTGTCACTCCAAGATTAAGTCTTCAAGTTTTCTTCTTTTTCCTTTATTTTTAGTCAACAATTTTGGCCCTCTCAAGGCTGATTAAGGGCTGATATTTATGAAATAATAACAAGGATATCAAAGTAATAAAGTGGTGCTCAAGTGGTGTATTCAATCGGTAGTGAACGGTACACGTCGGTTCAAATCGATTTTTCTTAAATCGCGTGTACTAGGGTTTTAACTTATGATTCACTCACTTATGATTATTACTTCTAAACATATACTTTTTCTTATCTAAAACTCACTCTTAATCACCAAATTGAGTACACACTCCACACCGATTATTCACTCTACCAAAAGAAGCAAAACCCTAATTTACGATAACAAGAAAACGAAAGGAAAAACCCTTGATTCTATGTTTGATTGCAATTATTGAGAGAGTGAATGAGTAGTAAGGCTATTATAAAGGAATAAATTCCAAATAAAAGGGAATTTTAAGAAAAAAAAAATGAGGGATTTTACATGTCCTCACAAATTCCCTCCCCTTTTTCTTCTTCTTCCTCTCTCATCCCAACCCACCACCACCTTCGTCGCCGGCCACCACCTCCGACGTCGGGGTCTTTTTTGTTTTTTGCCTTTCTCCCTCTCCCCCTCATCCTCACCCGCCATCCTCCCATTTACCCAGTTTGTATGACCCATTGTTTTTCCTCCCTCTCCCTTTCCCTCACTCCTCCTCCACCACCCTTCTCCTTCTTCTCTAGCTGATCTGGTAGCGAGATTAGATCGCACCGGGGTCATTTCTTTGCACCAGATTGCGGGGAAAGGGAGGGTGGCGGGGGAGGGGAGGAGAGGGAAAGGCTGAAAATTGCAAAAAAAAAAGTTTCTGCTGGGCATTGACTACGCCTTGACTGCCGGGCGAGGGAAGAGGGAAGGGGAAGGGCAGAGGGGAGGAGAGGGGTGACAGGTAGGAGATGGGGAGATTAAATGCAAAAAAAATAAATAAATTTCTGCTGACCATTGACTGCCGGGCGAGGGAAAAGGGAGGGGGAAGGGTAGAAGGGAGGAGAGGGGTGGCAGGTAGGAGATGGGGGAGAGAAAATGCAAAAAATAAAAATAAAAATAAAAAATTCTGCTGCAGACTGCTTGATGCAGTTTCGAGAGAGGAACAGGGGAGGGAAGGGGGAAGGGAAAGGGGAAGAAGCGGGAAGGGAGGAAAGAAAAGCAAGAAAAAATAAAAAATAAAAAAGAAAAAAGAAAAAAGAAAATGAGAGAAAGAAAATGAAAAGGCAAAAAAGTTTTTCATCTTACAAAATTTTTTCTACAACTTCTACAGTGATCTACAGTAAAGTTTTAGACAAACTTCCAAAAAACCAGTTTCCAAACGGGGCCCATGTTTTGCCAATATAACTACTCATAACCATTCCAAGAATTGTAACTACAAAATTACTATAATTATATAAAAACAAAGTTCTTTCATGAAAATTTTATGTAATTTTTTTTAATGTAACAAATAAAATCTATATAAAATTGATTCATTTTAATTATTTTCTAATTGCACGCACATTAGGTGTCCTCTTAACATTAATCATTCTTAATTTTAACTTTTTAAGGACTGAGACCAAAGCACCAAAATATTTTAAACAATTATACTACTAGAATGCCATTGCTTTTTTAAAATTGTGCTGTCAAATTCATTCTTTTAATATGTTCTTAACCGTCTTTTCATCTTATTATGCCACTGCATACGTTAGTGTAGGAAATTAATTTTCATTCCCAAATTCTCTTCCAAAAATTAAAATCCAAACGGTGCCTTTGCTTACATCAGCAGAAGTAGAGAAGAGAACTACACCACAATTGAGCGGGAGACCGAGTCCTTGGCAGATTTTGAAATGGCAAAAGATTTCGTCAAAACTACCGACGGTTTAACGTCATTTCTAACGTCCCGTTGGTCGGGTTACTCAAATTTGATTTTTCTTTTCTATTTTTTTGGCGGCAAAATTTATCTCTCTCCCCCTCAAAATTCCAACATTTCTCAGTGTGCAAAACCGAGTTTGTTTGGACGATTTATTTAAAATAATTACTGTTGTTATTTTTATGATGTGATATATATATATATATATATATATATATATATATATATATATATATATATATATATATATATATATATATATATGTGATTAAAAATATAAAAAATGATTGAAATTTACAAAGCAAATTATTTTATTTCAAAACTTTTCAATCCAAACACACTCAGTGTGTTATGTGTGTTTCAGATCGAGGCTATGAATTCCTCGAGAGATTGGGTGGTGTTATCAACTGCGGCGGTTTTGGGTGCTTTAGCCTCAACTTCGGTTATATCTTTCTACTTTTTCTTCAACGGCAAAAGAAAGCGCTTCCCCTTTTCCTCCGCCACCTCCAACGGCCGCCGGAGCAGCAGCAACGTCGTCGTCTTCAATTCGTCGTCTAACGGCTCTGATGAGAGTCGGGAGATTAAAGCTCAACCCTTGAACCCTTTTGATCCCTCCAGACGAAAAGGGTCAGTTAATTTCAGCTTAATTTTGATTCTTGTTGTAACTATCCTACTAATTTGTGGTTTGGTATTGAGTTGTAATGGTAATTTAATCTTGATTGCTGATTTTAACAGATATTTGTCATGGGATGACTACTTTATGGCAATAGCATTTCTATCAGCTGAGAGGTCTAAAGATCCCAATAGGCAGGTATTTATCTTTTAAATTTTCTTTTGCTGAGAAAAAAATGAAAGTTCATTTTTTCCCTTGATGAGGAGTTTAAAAAAGGAACTTAGAGCAACATAGCAAGAGAAAGTAAGAGAAAAGAATTTGTGTATCTTTTTTTTTCATTTTAATTTATTTTTTATCGCCCCTTTTGGGTTTAGTTCAGGAGGATAAAAGAAGGAAGGAAGATTTCGTGGGTTTTACATTACTTTTAGACACATTTTTTAGTAAGCAATTGTTGTTATACTACGAGTCTATGTGCTTTCTATTTCTTCTAAGTTTCTGGAGTAAAAAAGAAGTGAACTTGGAGAGGTTTCATAAATTAATCCATTTATTGTTGTTCGACCTAGTTGATGAAGAAAAGTTGGGACGATATATCTGATTGATTTTTTGACGATGAAAAATTAAAGCTTGGGCGTTTTACGTTGCAAAATTTATTAGGACAGATTGCTACATTGCAATATGAAGGGCCATATAAAAGTGGCATCTCCCCTTCGTAAGTTTGAATTTTGTTTTCTTCTTTGGGAGGTGCCAGGGGATGGGCATCTGTGAATAGCAGGATAATGAACATTTCTCTATAAATGTTTTTTGTTGGGCAGGTTTTGGTTACATGCTTTTGTTGTATTTTGCACTTTGGATATTGAAAGTAGCCACATGTTTCTGCTGACGTTGCAGGTTGGTGCATGTTTGGTCAGTCAAAATGGCATCATATTAGGTAAGGATGCTAGAGGCACCCATTTCTTTGTAGAGCAATTCCTTTTTCCTGCTTCTCCCACAAACCACATACATGTAAATTCTTTTTGTGGTAAGGTCAAAGCACTAGATACATATACATCTAATTTGCAGGTATATCAACGTACATGTGTACATCAGATTTTGAAAAATTAAAGGCCTCTGTTTGAAAGGTCCATCTCTGGCCTCTGTGTAGAATATATTATTGCTAAAGGATATGGTAATTTGGGAATTCATGTTTGGGAAGTTGAGCATTCCATTGAATGACAGGTTAATCAAGGGCCTATGACCCTAATTTTTATATCATGGAAACCTGACTACACAGGAAAAAAAATTGCTACTCTGTATAGAATCTCTCTCTTTGGACCTGGGGGTGGGGGGGGGGGAAGAGGAGGTGTCTTTGACTCTTTGTTAAGCAAAAGCACTGCAATGTAATGGACTTCAGTGTGATAGGTCTATGTTATACATATTTCATGTTTCAATTGTTAAAGGGTTTTGCTGACGAGTACCTATTAGGTGGTTTTTCTCCCAGTGAAATAAAATTTGCTGGTTGTGTCATACCTGAAGGCCTGGACTCCTCTTAAGTCTGATAGTCAAGTGAAACCGTTGCAATGAAGTAAATTATGGTCTTGTGCTTTAAAGGACAAAAAGGATTTAATGAAGTAAACTAGGGCCTTCCCCTTTAAGGGATGGTCTCTCTCTCTCTCTCACACACACACACTCATTCACACACACAAAAGTGAACTAGCACACATGCATTTGGAATACATCAATTGGTTGTTTTGTTGTGTACAAATTTTTTATCACCTCATTCCAGAAACAAAAAAGATTGGCAATTAGCTCGCTATCTGGCTGGTTACAGGATTTTTTAAAATTATCTTTTCCTCCCAGGCATTGGCTATAATGGATTCCCACGTGGGTGTTCGGACGATATGCTTCCATGGTCAAAGGTAGGTGGTTTCTAGATTAGGAAATTGGTAGAATAATTTCTGTGATATTGAGCCCATCTTTCACATTGCAGAAATCCAAGAACGGAAATCCACTGGAGACAAAGTACCCGTAAGTTATAAAATCTAACAAGTAAAATTTGTCTTTATGCAATCCTGTGATCAATGATGTAAAGCATTCTTTGCCATTCATATTGGTCTGCAACAATAAACTGTTCTTGGTTGATGATCATAGTCAGTCAGCCACCTCTCCTTCATGTCTACCTCACAGGGTTTTGATAACCTGGTGCATCTTCTCCATTTGATTGTCTCTTTGCAGTTATGTTTGTCATGCTGAAGTCAATGCAATTCTTAATACAAATCATGCATCTGCTGCAGGACAGGTTAGCTCCAACTTTGAATTCTCTCTTCTTCAGTTCTTAGGTACCTTTCTTCCCACCTGTCCTCCCCCTCCCTCATCCAACACAAAATGGAAATCCAAGAGATGAAAAAATACATACAAGAAAGTGATCTTTTTGTAATATTCATGTTAAATCTGGTCATGGAGTAACTCTTTGACTAAGCCTGTGATTTTTCTGTCATTGCAGAAACTCTATGTTACTATGTTTCCATGCAACGAATGTGCAAAGATTATTATCCAGGTAAAGAAGGCTGATCATTTCTTGCACTTTTTTGAACTCTAGGAGTAAAGAGTTTTTATTTTTCTTTAGCAATTAATATTATTTTATAAACTTTACTCTGAATTTACCTTTTACACATTCAGAAACTGCATAAGAACAAAATATCAGCTAAGTAATGCTGAGGTCAAAATAGAAGAAAAAGAAACATATTTGATCACATTGAAGGGACACTATGACAGTTTTATTTGACAAGGAACTACATAATAAAGCCATAGTTTTTTCCTTAAGCATATTCCTGTATTCGAGCTTAGTCCCTCAAGTTGCAGAAAGTGATGCATGCTGATCTGTATGCTTATGCATGTGTTGGTTGCGTTGCTAGCTTTGGGAACTAAAAATGCTGTGAATGCAGTAAAATGCTTGAAGGAAAAAGAAGAAATTAAGTCCAGTGCTCACCTGCAGTGGCCTCTTTATCTTTATAATGGATGAAATTTCCATATTGGCCCATCTGAACACAGTCACGACTGGCAACTAATTTCTGTGATGGTACTCCTGTAGCAAATTGTACAAGTATGTGAATTACCAAATAGCTCCAAGGTCGACAAGATATAAAGGCAAAGTTACCATGCTGACTTGAATCTCAAGTTCTCATATAAACTTTCACAAACAAAAATGGTGTTCATCTTTCCCTTGAAACTCCTGTTTTTCCGTGCATTATGACATCTGAAATTTGCATTTCTGGATTGTAGATGTTCTCAAGGAATATCATGCCACATAAAACTGTTAATAACTCTTTCAAAACATGGCTCTTGTCATGAACAGTGATACTATGTGTATCCAAGTGCTGTTTAGTTCTTCATTCCATCTTTATTGCTGAACCACAAGTTTTGTATTCCTGTAGCATAGATTTGGATGCTTAAGTTTTCTAGGAACCAGTTAAAAGCAGTTTGAAATAGAAAATGATCCCAACCAACCAAAGAAAGAAAGAAAAAAAGAAAGCAAACAAGAAAAAATAGCGAGTGCAAATCTGTGTAATTTTTAAGCATGCCATACCATATCCATGTTGAATGTGATTCAAAGATGATTGAGGGGAAGTCTTCAAAGGATTGGACATGTAAGAGATGGATTAACAATGAAATTAATGTGTATTCTGGTGATGTTTAGATCTTGATCCCGTGTTACCCTGCAGAACTATATGCTTTGCGGCCATGCAAGATAATATCTTTGCGTTTTTGATATGTTAATTCTTTCTTAAAATTGCAGTCAGGTGTGTCAGAAGTGATATACTTTGTGGAGAAGAGGTTGGATAACTCTCAAACTACCTACGTTGCATCACAAAAACTTCTATCCATGGCTGGTGTGAAAGTGAGCCTTTAATTTTGGTTTGCCATTTTGTATTCTCCCTTTATACAAAACTGAGTGCCTAGACTAATTGGATTCCTCGTGCATTTTCTTGTGTTAATTTCAGATTAGAAGACATCAACCTCAGATGAATCAGATTTTGATCAAATTTCAGGAGCTATAGGGGATGTGCCGAGGGTTTATGTCACAGGGTATATTAGTACCTGTCAACTAACCAATGCGTATCAATGCTCCCTTTTGCATTTGCAGTTCAAGAGCCAAGTTATTTTCGCATTACAAGGTGATTACCCAAATGAGGAGAAAGGAATTGGTCAGACTTGTATTCCGGGAGCCAAGAGACCTGGTCCATGGATGTATGAATCATATAACTGGACGAAAAGATGTCTGTTTTGTATCTGATTCATAGTATTGATGTTGTACGTGTTTGAAGATGATTATTCCTTGTAATTGAAAAGCAGACTTGGTTGTCTTCCTCCTTCATTTTGACAAGAAAAAGGGAGCAAAAACACAATTAGCTAAAATAGGGACTATAGTCAGGAGCGAGGGAGAGAAATTCCTTACTTTTTTTTTAAAAAAAATTTCTAGCAGGAGAGAAGTGAGATTTAAGAAATGGAACGAGATAAGGAATTTGAAGATAAGCCCTCTAAATCTTGGATTATGTGGTATAAAATTTAGTGATTATGTTTCACATGCTATATTTTGATTTGAAGGAGGGAGCAGCAACATAAATGTCCAGCTCCAGAAAGGCATTCATAGGGGCATAGGAATTTTTAAAAAATAGAAAAATGATTTTGTCACGTTGCAATTGTGATCATGCACTGCTTATATTAGCTAATATGCTAATGTGTTACAATGAAAACAGTCTTATGTAAAAAAAAAAAAAAAAGAACAATTATTTTTTTTTTTGATAAGAAAAAGGTCAAGGAGGAGAAGAGATTTACCTTATATTATTACTTATGTCTTATAAATCTCCTATCAAAAAAGCTCTAATTGGCAGGATGTGTGTTTTCAACACAAAGCCCAAATCTTTTTTTTTTTTTTTTTCAGGCATTGAAATGTTTAGATGGGTTTGATTTTAATCACTACCACGGGTCGGGTCGTTTACATCAGTTTTGACAAAATCTTCTATCAATACAACCCTTATATAATAGCGAGATTCGAACACGTGATCTTTTATAAAAAAAAATGATCAATTTTTACCAACTAAATCAACTCTTTTGGCAAGCCCAAATCTTAACTAGTCCTGGCAAAGGAAATTCAATAGTACATGTGAATTTTGATTATCCCACAATTTATCCAAGGGGATTTTCAAATCTTAACTAGTCCTGATAGAGGAAATTCGATAGTATTTGTGAATTTTGATTATCCCACAATTTACTCAAGGGGATTTCTAATCTGATAATTCCTAATTCAAAAATTAGTACCGGTGCAACTCCGTTGGTGCACCATACAGCCCGAAAGGGGGACATGGTTGAGATTTTCAGAGACTGCAGGAGCCCCTCGTGGGCAAACACCAACAGAACTCCGAGCACCCTCGTGCAGCAGCCAGCAGCACCTGTTTTTCCCTTTTTTTTTTTTCCATGTTATTGTTGTTTGTTTGTTTCAGTAGAAATTTTTTTTTTTCTGATTGAATCTATTGGGGAGACCTAAAGAGGTCGAAGGAAAATCGGGAGAGGATTGAATCCCTTTGGCCCAGACGGACACATATGCATCAGCTGGCAACTTGAATTTTTTTAAAATGCAGGTTAAAAATTTTGATTCCTTGACCTACACCTAAATAAAGCCAAACTTTTGGTAGCTAGTTGGTTATTTTAGTAAATATCACCTCACTTATAGGGGATGACAATTAGGGCAGATACTTGCGGACACCCACCCCATTCCCCCACTTGTGCGCGGGGTAAACGAGGTGGGGCATGGGACGGGGTTGGGCGGGGGATAAAATGCTTTCCTCGTTGAAAAATGGGGCAGGGGACCGGGGACTATACTCTCGTCCCCCGCTTAAATAAAATAATAATAATATATACATATATATATGAATTATATACAAAACATATTTAATAGTATTAGTTATAAATATCAAATTATGCCTATGTAATATAATTAATATTATTAGTTATATTAATAATTATATATTTATATTAATAAAAATTATGATTAGTTATATTAATATATTTATACTAAATTACTAATTACCCCGTGAGAAGTGGGGCGGGGGACTGTTGCCATTCCTACTTTTTTTTTTTTTTTTTCGCAACGATAGATGTCCTATAACCTAATCTAGCCTAGTCTAAGGGGAAGGGGTTCGATGTGAGTACAGACTCCATCGATGAAGGTCAATTAAGACCGCCACAAATTGTGGCAAATTTGTGGGAGGCAGGGATTGAACCCCTGACCTCCAGCATCACCTTTAATGGTGATGACCACGGGACCAAATGGCCAGTGGTGTTGCCATTCCTACTTAGTGCTCGTTTGTTTGTTTGTATTGACTGCAGCAGCAGCAGCTCGGAAACAGCAATTGTCCTTCAAAATTCCGCCAAGTGTCCTTCAAATTTCCCTTTGTCTCGCTTAAGACCGAAGCAAAAGAAAGTTGGGGAGCGCGCTCCTGCTGCTATGCTACGTGAATACGTGAATATGTGAAGTGGGATTCCACTTTCCTGATCAATCACTTTCATTTACTCCACTACGCTGACTACAGTCCAACACTGCACTACACCACCGTCACTTTTTGTTTCTTACTAGTACAGCATCACTTCACTGTTGCTTCCTTGCTCGGAAAGCTAAAGGGTAGCATTTATTTGCGATCATTTTGCCCCGCATTTCTCCACATCCTGACTCCCATTCCCTGCCTCTATCCTCCTAAGATCAGTCTACATTATTGTGTCTTTTCGGTTCTCCTATCAAATGTAAGTAGTCCCTTTTGAGCGGCTGATGCTTCTGTTGTTCTTGTACTAGTTTAAAGATAGCATCTTTCTTTTTCTTGGTTTCAAGAAGTGATCATCGGTTGTACTATTAGACTTCAGAAATTGCAGACGACCAAGTGTCAACAGTGGCATCTTGATTTTTATTTTTATTTTTTTTATTGGGGTGATTCAACCTTAGCTCTATTCTAGTAAGTTTGTCTGCATTTCACTCTTTAAGGCCTCAGAGCGTTTGTTTTATTTTGTACTGTTCAAATATGAATGCTTACATGCAAAAAGTGAATCAAGGTTTGGTAATGGTCCCTTGTTGTTCGTGAAAATGCTTACTTTATGTCTCTGTTGCTGCGGTTGATTTCTTTTTACTTCATTTTTACGGGGTTTGAGATTAAACTGTGTTCTTGATTTCTTGAAATAGAAAGGGAAAGGAAGCCTATGGAGCCGATTGATATGGAAATTGATGGAAGAAATCAACATTGTGGTGCTGATCCTCTCCCTTTTGCTAGAAGGTAGGCTTCCTCATCAATTCCAGAAATTACATGTATTCTTACTCTGCTATGTTCTGTTTTCTTAAAATGATAAAAAAAGATACAATCTTTTTCAATCTTCTTTTGTTTGTTCTGGACAGCTATCAACTGGAAGCATTGGAGAAAGCAATCAAGCAGAATACCATTGTGTTTTTAGAGACTGGCTCTGGAAAGACGCTTATTGCAATCATGCTTCTGCGTAGCTATGCCTACCTTATACGAAAGCCTAAACCTTTCTTTGCTGTTTTCTTGGTCCCAACTGTTGTATTGGTGGAGCAGGTTAAATCTACAATGACCATTTCATGCTTATTGTATTGTTCCCTCCAAGTTTGAGTCTTCTTTATTTTCTCTCTTTTCTTGTTGAATATTTTGTGCACTAACTCATGCAAATTTTGTAGTTAGTCGACATGCTATCAACACAATCCTTGAACTCTGTTATATTTATCTGATTGTTGTTAATAACTTTTGTCATTAGCAAAGTAAAGCTGTCATGATGCACACTGACTTGAAAGTTGGCAAGTACTGGGGAGATATGGGCGTTGATTACTGGGATGCTGCTACATGGAAGCAGCAGGTTGACGAGTTTGAGGTGTGCTCAATTTTTCTTTGTGTCATTGTAACGGTTTTCAAATGGTGCTGAACAACTGCTGATATTCAAAACTTGAAATCTCAAAATGATAAATCTTATATTTATTGTTGACCTTTTTGAACTGCTTATTCCGGTATTAATTCTGTCTTTGATGCTGTTAGGAGAATATTAGTATTCTTATAGATAATAAATTAGTAAGGGTATTCTTGTAAATAGTCTGTTAGGTTTGTACTCCTATAAATACTAGTTGGTCACTCATAATAGTGTGACTAGATGTTTTCCTCCCAAGATACCTGTTGACATGGTATCAGAGCAAAAGTCCTAGGGTTAGGGTAAAACATCTAGCAAATCACTGTTCACGCCGCACTGTTCATAGCGGCACTGTTCACGTATACTGTTCACGGCACTGTTCACGCCGATACTGTTCACGTAGTTACTGTTCATGCCGTTACTGTTCACGCGTTTGTCTCAAGTTTTGACCCGTTCTTTCGTTTGACGTGCTATTCGCTATGGTTGAAAGGTTTGTTAATACGGTTATCACTGACCAAGTTGAATCAAGTTCTTCAACACATGGGTCCCAGAAAACTGTTACTATATCTGAGGAAGATTATGTTAAATTCCTACAGTACCAAGCTACAAATCACGCATCTCTTCCCTCTGCTTCTTTAGCACAAAAAGGTAATGACCCATGGATTATTGATTCCGGGGCTACTGATCATATGTCAGGTACCTCTAAAATTTTTTCTAATTTTCAAGAGTCAACTCCCTTTCCTCATGTTACTTTAGCTGATGGATCTACTACTAAAGTTAAAGGACTAGGCACTGTAGAAATTAATCCATCACTTCCGCTATCTTCTGTTCTTTACGTACCCAATTTGCCATTTAATCTAATGTCTGTTAGTAAGCTCACTAAATTTCTACAGTGTACAGTTACTTTTTCTCCTGATTCTGTTGTCATTCAGGATTTGAAGACAAAGAGGATGATTGGTGGAGGGCATGAGCATAATGGTCTTTATTTTCTCAACTTCAATGGTCCGATAGCATGTCCTGCTACTGTTTCTCCTCTTGAAATTCACTGTCGTTTAGGTCATCCGTCTTTACAAAATTTGAAAAAGTTGGTTCCTACTTTGAATCAATTATCTTCGTTAGAATGTGAGTCTTGTCAGTTAGGAAAGCATCATCGTGTTTCTTTTGCTCCTAGAGTCAATAAACGGGTTTCTGAACCTTTTTTGTTAGTTCATTCTGATGTTTGGGGTCCTAGTCGAGTCACTTCAAAGTTAGGTTTTAAATATTTTGTAGTCTTTGTTGATGATTTTTCCAGAGTTACATGGCTTTATTTAATGAAAGATCGTTCAGAATTATATTCCATTTTTTGTGCATTTGTTACAGAAATAAAGAATCAATTTGGTGTGCCTGTACGTATACTTCGCAGTGATAATGCGAAAGAATATTTTTCCACTCCTTTTAATACCTTTATGACTAAGTCTGGT